AGGTAAAAAGTGCCTCAAGCAAAACAAAGCAGGAACAAGCTGAACCGGCAGGCACACAGCACACAGCGAGAAGCTGCACAAACACACACAAAACACAAGCCCGAAAAGAACCAGCACTGCTGGCACCCAGACGCGGCATCGCCAGCCCAAGCGCGAAGCCGCGCAGACAAGCAGCCTAAGGGTCAAGCAATCAAGCAACAAGCAGCAGGAGCATGCAGGAGGAAGAAAATCCCTTACACGCGATACCCGGAGGCAGCCGACTGACCACTGTCAGGATTTAGGTGGTATTTCTCAAGCGCCAGGTGGACAGAGAGGTCAAAGCGACGAATCTGTGATTGGACCCGCGGGAAAAACGGAGATGACCCCTGGAGGAAGAAGCGCAGCTTCTGGCATAGGATTTACTGGCAGAAGGTAAAAAGTGCCTCAAGCAAAACAAAGCAGGAACAAGCTGAACCGGCAGGCACACAGTCCACAGCGAGAAGCTGCACAAACACACACAAAACACAAGCCCGAAAAGAACCAGCACTGCTGGCACCCAGACGCGGCATCGCCAGCCCAAGCGCGAAGCCGCGCAGACAAGCAGCCTAAGGGTCAAGCAATCAAGCAACAAGCAGCAGGAGCATGCAGGAGGAAGAAAATCCCTTACACGCGATACCCGGAGGCAGCCGACTGACCACTGTCAGTCGAGACGTCCGCTGCCGCCACAAAGCGGGCGGCCGCGGACGGAGAAAGGGCAGCCGCCGACAAGGAGCCGGCGTTGCCCGGGGGTCCGCCTGGGGCAGCGGACGGAGGGAGGCTGGACACATGAACACGGTACCGCTCGAGGCAGTCCTCCTCGCTAGCCTCCGAGTCAGCGGTAGCCGAGTCAGCGGTAGCCGCCCGTGACGGCGGCGACGCCGCGGCAATGCCCAAGGACCGGCGTGACCCGACCGATGCCGGGGAGGAAGCAGGCGAGCCTCGGACCAGCAGCAAGCACCCCAGTGGTGTCGAGCTCTCCGGAGGCACCCGACGTCACAGTGAGGGACGGAGACGCCTCCGAGTCGCCAGCTCCGCGCCCATCGTCGGGGCCACTCGAAGGGTGTCCCCCATCGGAGTCGGAGACCTCCGGCGAAGACTCCTCGGGCGACTCGACAAAGTCCGAGGAGGAGCTGTCCTCTGGCTCGAGGAGTTGCCGCAAGGGCGTCATGCGCCTCGCACCAGACAAGAGCGCTTCCAGCGTCAGCTGCATGGTGAGGCGCTGATAGGTGGCGGCGCGTTTGCGAGCCAAGACCTCAGCAGCAGGTCCGTCATCAGGCACGAAGTGCCGACCAAACGCCGCATCCTCAAGAGGCATCGAGCGCTGAGCAATGATGTCCGCAAGATACCAGATGAAGCGGAGGGTGTCAGGATGCAGGGTACCGTCCGTCGAGATGGCAAGAGGGATGAACGCTCGAGGAGGAGTAGTCATAGCATATGCAGCGCGATATTTGCGAATCTTCTCAGACGCTGCAACATGGAGGGCGTCGAGGTTGACCTCCCCCCACTTGGAGAGCTACCAATGTAAGGGTGGACCAACGTCACGTCCGCCATCAAGCCCTCGTACTGCTCGGACCCTCGATCGCGGATTCCAGGGATGTGGATATCGCCCTTCATCTTGCGGCCATGAGGATGGGAGGGTACCTGCCGTCGAGAACGAGGATCCCCCACTGTATCGATGACGCTCTGAAGACCAGCTTCGTTCAGCATCGACCGAATCGTACGAGTAAGGTTGTCATGCGCCGTTGGAAGCTTGGAGGATCGGCGTTTGCAGGTCTGGAGATGATGTGCAGCAACGGAGGGATCGAGCTCGCGCTGACATCCATCACATTCCGTCGGACACTGGCAGATCGGCATGCCATGGAGATAGCAGTCGAGCATCTGAGCATAGCGGTGCGGGAAGGCCTTGAGGGGGTAGTAGCTCGAGACTCGCATCGGAGAGTGGCTCAGGTCTCGCTCAGGAAAATGAGCGAAGATGGTAGACTGCAAGACCCTATCCTGCGACTTGAGCGAGTGTGTCCTGCGGCTGTGCAAGGTGAGGATATCACGCTGCTGATCGGTCAGCGCAGCGCGAGCATGCACATGGCGAGGGAAGACGCGCATGACAAGAGGGGTCACATTTCGCTGCGCAGGCGGAGGAATGAAGTGCTCATGAGACGAGTCGACGAGAGCGCGCAAACCAGGGATGTGTACCACAGATGCCGGGGGGCGTCCTGCGTCATCAGGCACAGCAGCCGGGGCAGGTGGGATCGCCGCGCCATCTGCAGCCGGTGCAGGAGCCTTCACACGACGGTAGAGGATCGCTCCAGCATTATGAACGAAGTCGTGCGCCTCAACGAAGAAGGTCGCCAGAGGATGCTTCTGGGCACGGAGAGATCTCGAGCAGTGAACGTCCAGGCTATGAGGAGAGGGCAACATCCGGGACATGGGCTGGTCAGAGTACCAAGCGAGGAAGCGAGCGATAGCCGTATAGTAAACAGCGGGGTGTAGACCCTCAGAGGGCGTGAACTCGTCCCCTCCCGATAGCCGTATAGTAAACAGCGGGGTGTAGACCCTCAGAGGGCGTGAACTCGTCCCCTCCCCGACTATGCGGAAGCTCCCGCTTGAACCTCGCAAACTCTAGCAGGTCGGGATGCGCGGCGAGGTACTGCGAGGAAGGCCAGCGGTATATAGGATTTAGGTGGTATTTCTCAAGCGCCAGGTGGACAGAGAGGTCAAAGCGACGAATCTGTGATTGGACCCGCGGGAAAAACGGAGATGACCCCTGGAGGAAGAAGCGCAGCTTCTGGCATAGGATTTACTGGCAGAAGGTAAAAAGTGCCTCAAGCAAAACAAAGCAGGAACAAGCTGAACCGGCAGGCACACAGTCCACAGCGAGAAGCTGCACAATCACACACAAAACACAAGCCCGAAAAGAACCAGCACTGCTGGCACCCAGACGCGGCATCGCCAGCCCAAGCGCGAAGCCGCGCAGACAAGCAGCCTAAGGGTCAAGCAATCAAGCAACAAGCAGCAGGAGCATGCAGGAGGAAGAAAATCCCTTACACGCGATACCCGGAGGCAGCCGACTGACCACTGTCAGTCGAGACGTCCGCTGCCGCCACAAAGCGGGCGGCCGCGGACGGAGAAAGGGCAGCCGCCGACAAGGAGCCGGCGTTGCCCGGGGGTCCGCCTGGGGCAGCGGACGGAGGGAGGCTGGACACATGAACACGGTACCGCTCGAGGCAGTCCTCCTCGCTAGCCTCCGAGTCAGCGGTAGCCGAGTCAGCGGTAGCCGCCCGTGACGGCGGCGACGCCGCGGCAATGCCCAAGGACCGGCGTGACCCGACCGATGCCGGGGAGGAAGCAGGCGAGCTCGGACCAGCAGCAAGCACCCCAGTGGTGTCGAGCTCTCCGGAGGCACCCGACGTCACAGTGAGGGACGGAGACGCCTCCGAGTCGCCAGCTCCGCGCCCATCGTCGGGGCCACTCGAAGGGTGTCCCCCATCGGAGTCGGAGACCTCCGGCGAAGACTCCTCGGGCGACTCGACAAAGTCCGAGGAGGAGCTGTCCTCTGGCTCGAGGAGTGCTTGCGCACCAGACAAGAGCGCTTCCAGCGTCAGCTGCATGGTGAGGCGCTGATAGGTGGCGGCGCGTTTGCGAGCCAAGACCTCAGCAGCAGGTCCGTCATCAGGCACGAAGTGCCGACCAAACGCCGCATCCTCAAGAGGCATCGAGCGCTGAGCAATGATGTCCGCAAGATACCAGATGAAGCGGAGGGTGTCAGGATGCAGGGTACCGTCCGTCGAGATGGCAAGAGGGATGAACGCTCGAGGAGGAGTAGTCATAGCATATGCAGCGCGATGTTTGCGAATCTTCTCAGACGCTGCAACATGGAGGGCGTCGAGGTTGACCTCCCCCCACTTGGAGAGCTACCAATGTAAGGGTGGACCAACGTCACGTCCGCCATCAAGCCCTCGTACTGCTCGGACCCTCGATCGCGGATTCCAGGGATGTGGATATCGCCCTTCATCTTGCGGCCATGAGGATGGGAGGGTACCTGCCGTCGAGAACGAGGATCCCCCACTGTATCGATGACGCTCTGAAGACCAGCTTCGTTCAGCATCGACCGAATCGTACGAGTAAGGTTGTCATGCGCCGTTGGAAGCTTGGAGGATCGGCGTTTGCAGGTCTGGAGATGATGTGCAGCAACGGAGGGATCGAGCTCGCGCTGACATCCATCACATTCCGTCGGACACTGGCAGATCGGCATGCCATGGAGATAGCAGTCGAGCATCTGAGCATAGCGGTGCGGGAAGGCCTTGAGGGGGTAGTAGCTCGAGACTCGCATCGGAGAGTGGCTCAGGTCTCGCTCAGGAAAATGAGCGAAGATGGTAGACTGCAAGACCCTATCCTGCGACTTGAGCGAGTGTGTCCTGCGGCTGTGCAAGGTGAGGATATCACGCTGCTGATCGGTCAGCGCAGCGCGAGCATGCACATGGCGAGGGAAGACGCGCATGACAAGAGGAGTCACATTTCGCTGCGCAGGCGGAGGAATGAAGTGCTCATGAGACGAGTCGACGAGAGCGCGCAAACCAGGGATGTGTACCACAGATGCCGGGGGGCGTCCTGCGTCATCAGGCACAGCAGCCGGGGCAGGTGGGATCGCCGCGCCATCTGCAGCCGGTGCAGGAGCCTTCACACGACGGTAGAGGATCGCTCCAGCATTATGTTTGTGCAGCTTCTCGCTGTGTGCTGTGTGCCTGGAGGTTTAGGTTGTTCCTGCTTTGTTTTGCTTGAGGCACTTTTTACCTTCTGCCAGTAAATCCTATGTTGCTAGAAACCTTCGCTCGGAGCTGACTAGCATGAAATCCATCCGACGGGGCCGTGCCGATAGGCAGGCCGCCAAGTGTAATCCCGCCAGTGACGACCTCGAAGTGTTGCCGCGGCGTCGCCGCCTACCACTGACTCGGCTACCGCTGACTCGGAGGCTAGCGAGGAGGACTGCCTCGAGCGGTACCGTGTTCATGTGTCCAGCCTCCCTCCGTCCGCTGCCCCAGGCGGACCCCCGGGCAACGCCGGCTCCTTGTCGGCGGCTGCCCTTTCTCCGTCCGCGGCCGCCCGCTTTGTGGCGGCAGCGGACGTCTCGACTGACAGTGGTCAGTCGGCTGCCTCCGGGTATCGCGTGCATTCCATTGGGTTCTCGACTGGATTTGTTTGTACCAGGCTAGCCTGTTTGTACCGAGGTATAATTGAGTTTTACCGGGTTCAAGGATTTTTGTATCAGGATCCCCTTTTCCCCTCCGTACTAAGTTTGTACTGTCAATGTCAGCATTTCCCGTGGGCTGGCAGAGCTCCCTCGACTATCACCTCTACACCACCCGTATGTCTCAGAAGAGATGAAGTCAGGGTAGGTAGTCTGATTTCAGGAGTGGGCGAGAATCATAAAAGTCTTGGGCATTCTGGTAGTGGAATTGACGCTGAAAAGCAATCTCTTCGATTGCCGTTAGGATTCGAACGCGTGGTCAAACAGCACCCACCTGAGCTAGAGTCTTATACTCGAGGGGGGTGGCCGCGATGTGGGTTTGAATCGCCACGCCTTTGACCCCATTATTTCCATTCCAAACCTCGTTGTCGCGTAGGGTGGGTCACACTCTCGAGCGTTGCGAGTTTTACGGTTCGAATTTGACCAAGGTTCACCCTCTACCCCCCAGTCTCTGAATTTCAAATGGGAAAATGATGGGTAGGGGGTCCCCCCATTTGTCTCCACTCCAGCCCCCCCCTCCCTCGACGAACAAGAGATGGTGAGATTGTCCCATTGACGCGCGTAAGGACGATAATGAACAATGTGAGACTTCGAATCTAACCATGCATTGATATGCAGGAAACGAAGATACGGTTACTTGTCTATTTGTGATGACTTGGTCTCTTCTGTGAAATTCAAGAAGTAGCAAGAGATTTGAACTCAACATCTCTTCCTCAACATAAAGCCAATGCAACATCTCTATCATTACCACGCTGCCTCAAATTGCACTAAGACCACTTAGATCACTTAGCTTAGGCCGAAGATGATGTCAAAGCTGAGCAAAAAATTCAAATTTTTGCACAATGACGATTCATTCAAAATGTTCAAGTGTAATTTCAGAATGGACAGAAGATGGCATAGCAACAGCCGATCTCAGCATGTATTTTGAAACTGTGATGGTAAGCAAAAACATCATACGAAACAGTGTCTACCTTGTGTTTCTCTCTGTCTCATGGTCTACGGTATCCTTCGTGGCACAAACCTATATGGCCAGTGAGTTGCATCGGGAACACTGTAGATGTGCTGATTGGACAATGGCAGGTACATGATATGGTTGGCGATATTCAGAGTTTTAAGAAGATAATCGTTTGTATCAGATGCTTGCTTCAGACGTGTCGATATGAGATTCCTTTCTACGCTGATAATCACGGCAGTGAATCGTATCATCGTGTTACTGCGGCATTGCCGATGATGTTGATGAAGCATCTTTCATGACAACCCGTGCAAATGCTTATTCTCTCTGCAAATCCTTTCTCGCAATTGCTCCAACCATGCAATTTCAGGAAAGTGTCTTGCACACTCCGAGATAGTATTGCATGTTTGACATCTAGGCTGTGATACCAGGGATCAAGCGATATATAGAGTAGGCAGAGGCTGTATCAGTCATGCAAACTTGAATCTGCGTAATAACAGTTTCTGAAGATTGTTTATTTGCCAACAAATAAAAGATGCTTGACCATGATGGTGATTACTGTGGTCCCTTGTATACAACAGCTCTGAAGCAGCACTGTCCTGGTAGTAGCGGCTCACAGAACACAAAGCACGCAATGGACAGGAGGAACTTCGGGAGGATGTCACAGTAGACCGTATAACACTCTGAGATACACTTTTCAAAAGAAGGAGATGCAAACAAATAGAATGATGTTGCATGCAAATCGAAACAGAGGTGTCAGGATCCTAAATGAATCATGTTGGCAACAAGGTTTGAATTTTCACCAAAGACAATTGAAACTCTACTGATCACAATAGGGATGACAATGAGGATGTGTAAACAATCACATCTGCTAAGCGTTGCTATTTGTTGCCAAGCGGAAACGCACCTGTGAACAACCTGGCATAGATCATCGTGATCTTCATGATAGCGGATTCAACAACCAGGAGTTAAAAGAACCCGTAAGCCCAGGGTGCTATTTGTCCATCGAACTTCAATCGAACTCTGAAGTTGAGATAGGAAGGAACTTTGAATCTTCAAGAACAGGGGTTTATGTAAACTGGAAGGTGGCACATCTTGAAAGTCAATGTTTTCATTGGAGGACATATTATCTCCATTTCTTCTAGTCTCGATGCCTCTCAACGCAGCTGATTGTGGGCTTATGCGTGTTTCAACCCCAGGAAACAATCATCGTTGGCGCGACATGCGTGCCCGACCCATTGCGTCTGATTATAACATGTAACCAATCTGATTTCACACATCCAAAAAATTTGCTAACACTTTGAAATTTGAAGGGAAGGTTTGTTTGTTTGTCCGTACTGTTCGTTTGTTTGTTTGTCCGTGCTGTTCGTTTGTTTGTTTGTCCGTACTGTTCGTTTGTTTGTTTGTCCGTACTGTTCGTTTGTTTGTTTGTCCGTGCTGTTCGTTTGTTTGTTTGTCCGTACTGTTCGTTTGTTTGTTTGTCCGTGCTGTTTGTTTGTTCGTTTGTCCGTACTGTTTGTTTGTTCGTTTGTCCGTACTGTTTGTTTGTTCGTTTGTCCGTACTGTTGGTTTGTTTGTTTGTCTGTACATGACAACATGGCGGTCATGGAGATCTACTGGTACACTCATTGTGTAAGTAAGTGCGCTGGTCTGACTGTATGGTCTGAGCACTGCAGCTTGCGCATGCACATCAAGAGCATGGACGCTGAGTGGAAGCACAACTATGGGTAAACGGGTCAGTACAGAGATAAGATCAGAAATGTCATCGAAGAATGCAAGTTCGACGTTGAAGTAAAATTGTTGTTGTTGGTATCGTTGTTGTTGTTGTTGTTGGTATTGTAGTTGTTGTTGTATCATGAGGATGAGGATGAGGATGAGGATGAGGATGAGGATGAGGATGAGGATGAGGATGAGGATGAGGATGAGGGTGAGGATGAGGATGAGGGTGATATGGTGGCGGGAAGCCTGGGGATGCTACCATTCGAACGGCATCTCAGCTATGCCCTGACCTTATCAAGCTCCCTGAGCGCGAAAGCGGGAGGCAAGGGCTGGCTGGTGGTGGAGGAGAAACATGCGATCTGGGACTTCCTCAACCGCCGCTGCCTCGATATCGATGCCCGCACGAGGATGACTGCACAGGAGGCTCTGAGGCATCCCTTCCTCGCTAGTGGTATCAAGTAAACCGTCTCTACCCGAAGCTTTCTCCTTCCTCGCCTCTCCTCCAAGCCCTCCTCCCTTCCTCGCTAGTGGTCTTGAGTAAACCGTCTCTCCTCTGGCATCTCCCAGTCTCTCGCGATCAGCATATCAATACTTCCCAGGCTTCGCTTTTCCTTCCAACCCCTCCTATCCCCTCTCCTTCCCCCCTCCCCTCTCCCCTCATCTCTCCTCCCCCAGCCTCTCAAACTCCAATGACATATTACAATCGCCATGCCACTGGCTGTTGAGAGCATTTCACAAGACTCAAACTGTTGTGGAATGCGTTGGGAGAAGCCTAAAAAAATGCAATCATGGCAAAGCACCAGCAAGTCTCTTGAAATATGTTTCATATACAACCGACGAAGCATTCTGGTACAGGAAGCTAGGCCGTCATCGCAATAAGGAGAACAGCATTTCCTTTATGTCTTCGAAGGTTGCCTCTCTGATCGATTCCTTTCATGTTTCCCTTCTGAAAGTGTGAAAACAGCTGATCAGGGCTTTGGCACATCAGAATTGAGGTGTTTCAGTGCAAGTATGACAAGGAAAGTCACACAATTATTGGATAGCGTGAGCATGCAAATTTGAATGCATACCTTACACTATTACAAGTCAATGCACAGTTACAACTATGCTCACAATGCTTCAAAGCATATTTGCATTTACACGCAACTCAACGAACTGAGATTCAAATATTTCCTTTCCACAAAATTCTTATTGCAACATGATATGCATCCGATGATCATCCTCAAAACACTCTGCATGCAGTCGTTTTCCCACATGATACATTCAAATCTGGTCAAATTTGGCATCAAAAGATGTTCTTGTCATCACATTGATGTATGCATCTCACAACATGGTGCCCACAGGGCGCGATCTGCTTGAACGTGAGTCTCCCAAACTGACACCGTGTACAACATTGGTACATTCTGTACAACGTTTAAAAAAATTCCAGAAATGGCACGGTGCTGGCAGGATCCCACAATTTGAAATGGCGTGGTTTGACAGAAGTAAAACATTTCAAGGAAAATTTTCGCTTTGAAATCCAAAACCTATTCATTCAGAAAAATCCAGGTAGAAAAAGACCCCGCCGAGACGGAATAAAATCCAGTTGAGAACCCAATGGAATGATGTACAGTACCACTACTACTGTAGCTCGTGGCTCCCCCTCGGAATGTGGAAGCCCTGTTCTGTCAAGTCAAGATGGAAAGCAAGGATCCTGCAAGAAGAAGGTCGTGCTGTGGTCGGATCAGACATTCCTCGACGCCTACCTTCAAAAGCAGAAGACAAACACTGAGATTTTGTGGTCTTATTAGGCTCGTTGTTGTTAATGATGTTTTTTGATTGTAGATATGAATTAATATGCACTCCTATCTTACCGTGACTGCTCAAGTCACAAGTGGATTCAATCCGAGCCCGCATTGCCTTCAATCATGGAACTGGGAGTGTCGTTGCTGCCACCCTGGCCCACTCCGGTGGCAGCCGGCAGCCGGGCCGCCCGGTGGCACCATCGGTCAACTTGAGTTTGGGGTCATTTTTAACTTAACTTTGAGTAAAAGAGGTCGGCCCGGACTGGCCGGGCGGCCGGCTGCGACTGAGCGGCGCCCGGACCCAGCGGAGCCGGGCCCCCGGCGCTCGGCAGTAACGGTGAGTTTTAAAGGAAGATTGTCCTCGTACTAATTTTTAACTTAACTTTGAGTAAAGTTGCAAAGGGCAGCAAATGTTTGCTACCTTTCCCACGACCTTGCTATACAAAGCTTTTTAGTTTAGTAGACCATTTATACAAGGCATTTTAATAGTGTACTAGATGTTTTACTTCATAATATAACCAATGTTTTAGTTATCTCACTCACCTTCAGTGGAGCATGCCATTGCTGAAGACAGAGAGGGAGGAGGGAGGGAGGGAGGGAGGGAGGGAGGGAGGGACGAGGAGAGGAGAAAGAGTAGAGTAGAGTAGGAAGAGGGAGGAGAGAGATCAAAAGATCGAGAAGGCAGGGCTTGACACAGTCTGAGTGTGAGGAGAAAAAGGTTTTACGCGCTTCACGTTTGTGGAATCGGGGTAAATGGCATCACAATGAAAGCGGTAAGGAAACGTGGCAAGGAAATTCTTTGGAGAGGCAATGCGGAAGAGGATGTAGAACGTTGTTCAAGTAGGTAGATGAGTTCTGATGAATACAGAGGCCTTATAAGTTCATGTATGTCATCATAGGGCATGCTTGCTATCTGCTCGATGCTAACTTGTCACACGAAGCTGTTCAGCTCTGCACGAGCACCGACGAGACGACGACGAACCTGCTCAGAGCGGGCGAGGAGAAGCAGCGCCTGTCACCTGTTCAGGATGCATCCACGTGAAACCTTGCTGCAGGGATGAGCCAGGTCGGCTCTATGAGGCCTTGACGGCATAGACCAACATGCGCATGTCTGGTGGGAGAGACGGAGAAAGCAGCACGAGCAGCATGAGCAGCATGAGCAGCATGAGGAGGAGCAGGAGGAGGGGCGAATGGTGGTGATCGACAGCCCTTGAGGATGAATCAGGACATTGCAGAGGATCGGAACGGTAGCCAGGGGTTGCTGGAGATGTCGGAACGCATGCTGGACGTGGATGTGGGCGCAGTGCTGGACCTTGGGAAGGTGACGAGCAACGGGAACCATGTGCTCCGAGCGATCAAGATCCGTAACCACGGGGAGGGGCCGATGCTGGTCCACCTGAGCTCCGATCGTCCTCAGGAAATCAGCTTCCAGCTGCATAATGACAACCTGCCAGACAGTGACTCGAGCTCGAGTGCATCGCTAGGAGCTGAGAACGACTTCAATCAGCTCTTCAACACTATAGGAATTATCCACGAGCTTCAGATCCCAGCTCGGAGCGAGCAGAGAGTCGTGCTGACCTACCTTCCCGCACGGTACGACTGGGAGAACCAAGATGACGCCTTGAGCTCGAAGCAGACGATCATTGGAGGGCAGCGAGACGCGGTCTCCCTTACCTCGAGCAAGAGCGTCATCGGGCCAGTCTCAGGGACGGTCAACTCGCCTGTGTCCGTGTCCGGGACCTTGAACTTCACCGGAAAGATCCTCGGGGGAGGGTCGACGGAGGGAGGGGAGATCCACACCTGCAGCGTCAGGCTGCTTGCTCAAGTGTGCAAGTCGGTGCTGGCACTGCAGCCCACGGAGATCATGCTGAGCTCCTGCGTGCCCGGAGGCATCTACTACCGCGACTTCACTCTGCTGAACCTCTCGAACATCCCCTTGTACTTCTCCATGATCCTCTCCCCCGCCACCAGCCAGGCGGTTGCGAACAAGACGCTCAAGCTGTCAGAGGTGAGAGAGCAGCCTTACAGCACCAATGCCCCCCTTCTTGTCCTTGTCCTTGTCCTCGTCCTCGTCCTCGTCCTCATCCTCATCCTCGTCCTCGTCCTCATCCTCGTCCTCGTCCTCGTCCTCGTCCTCGTCCTCGTCGTCCTCGTCCTCGTCCTCGTCCTCGTCCTCCTCGTCCTCGTCCTCGTCGTCCCCGTCCCGTCTCCGTCCTCGTCCTCGTCCTTTCCTTCTGCTCCTCCTCCTCCTCTTGCCAGTCCCGCATGTCCTGCATGCCCTGTTTCATCCTCTCAAGTTTCTCCTCCTAGGTGGATCAGGATGAGGGGAGACGGGGATGGAATTCTCCGGAACGGCTGCTTACCTGCGGGGCAGAGGATGCGGGTGGGGGTGACGTTCACCCCGGAGTCGGTGAAGC